ATTTGTTCTCTAGTCAGCCCCTGTTTGGTTGCTTAGAAAGTGGAGGAAAAGGATTGACAGCTAAATATTTGGTTTTTGCAGTGAAATGAAGATGAAGATGTTTTTGATTTTTTTTTTTTTTGAGAGTTTAAGGTTAATTGGATATGCATTCTGATGGGTATGCAAATTGTGTATTGTTTGCTGTAGTTTTTGCATCTACGAGATCTTTTGAGGCAGCATGTCAACTATTGATGAGCCTCTGTACCCCATTGCGGTTTTGATTGATGAGTTGAAGAATGAAGACATTCAGCTTCGGTTGAATTCGATTCGTCGCCTCTCAACCATTGCTCGCGCGCTTGGGGACGATAGGACACGCAAGGAATTGATACCTTTTCTAAGTGAGAACAATGATGATGATGATGAAGTGCTCCTTGTAATGGCTGAAGAACTAGGGGTTTTTATTCCCTATGTTGGAGGTGTGGAGTTTGCAAATGTTCTGCTGCCTCCATTGGAGACCCTTTGCACTGTTGAGGAAACTTGTGTAAGGGATAAGGCAGTAGAGGCGTTGTGTAGAATTGGTGCCCAGATGAGGGAGCAGGACGTGGTTGAATACTTTCTTCCGTTAGTGAAGGTTGGTTTCCATTTTTTGATCATTGTTTATATTTTATTTTGTTATATTATTCATTTTATTTTTGTGTTATATGGGATTGTATCACTGTGCTGTTCGGAGGTGTCTAATGATTGCCATAGAAAACTTATGGTCTTTGAGAGAAATGTTTGCTAATTAATGATATATATTGGGAAGTTTGATGCCTTAAAATGTTAGTTTGTGGTAGAACATATCTATCTGTGTTTCTATAATTACATCTTAGGATTATAAGAGATTTGATACTGTATTATGATTACAAAAAAAATTAAAGATTACAATATAAATTTTGATTTAGCTTTTACATCTGTCTGCATAAATTGTGTAGTGAGAGCAACTTAGTAATGAATAATGTTAATGCTTGCATTTTCCAAAACTAGGTGGCCTATCAGAGAATACTTGCAACAGAGATATCTTCCCTTCTGATCTTAATGAGGAACATCACTTTGGTTTATACTAAGTAGATGCCTCCTTTATTATGTGCCACCAAAGAGTTGCCATGTTACTGCTATCTAGGTTTAGTTGACGTGTTATTCAATAACGTACAATCTACCATGGCGTCCATGGATTTATCCTAAGCTCGAAGAGACTGCAATTAAATATTGTGACATGCACTATGCTGTTGTGTAATTTTTCCTTTTCTATTGTTTTTTTTATTAGTAGCTATTACTTCATTTGATTCTAATTACCATACTTAAGAATCAAATTATCATTTTCTTTTAAATATTTTAATCTGTAATGTCCAGAGGTTGGCTGCTGGTGAGTGGTTTACTGCTCGAGTTTCCTCTTGTGGCTTGTTTCATATTGCATACCCAAGTGCACCAGAGGCATTAAAAACTGAACTAAGAGCGATATACAGTCAGCTATGTCAAGATGACATGCCCATGGTCAGGAGATCTGCTGCTACAAATCTTGGAAAATTTGCTGCTACTGTTGAAGCGGCTCATTTGAAGACTGAAATAATGTCTATGTTTGATGATCTAACACAGGATGGTATAAGCGCTCTATGGTGTCTGTTGAATTCTGTTTATTGTTTTTTGCTTATAAATCATTTTTCCTATATTCCTATTAAACGGATGAAAGTGAGTGGTGAGGTATACAAGCCAAGAAATGCTGGCAGGAAAATGGCACTTATACGGGAGAGGGCTTAGTGGCCAAATGATATTTCTATTGCTTAGGGAAGGAAGTTTGGGGAGAGGTTGTTTTACTTTTTACTATGTGGTCAATGATGCAGTGGTTTTTGACTTTTGCAACTGTTCTTATTCATATGTTGAATTCAAGATCCTGTTGTTATGTTCAGAGAATGATAGCCTAGGCCTAGATTTGACCTTTGTTTATTTTTAGAGTAAAAAGTCTTATATCCGCAGAATCGCCTTTCTTTCCCAATGTTTGTAAACAGTTGTACAAGGAAAACCTAGGAGTTTATGGTTGTGTTGCTTTAGTAAAGCAAAGGAAGCCCTAAAAGATTCAGGATGTTTTTGACCTGTAGGTATATTCTCATTTGTAATGATGTCCTTGTCAAAGTTTGTACTTCTGAATTTAAACATGCACATATATATTCCTAGAGCTATAAAGGTTACTTGTGAAAAGGGGACTAAATGTCTATGTTTTCCAATTTTTCCCCTTCCAGATCAAGATTCTGTTAGATTGCTTGCTGTTGAGGGTTGTGCGGCTCTTGGAAAGTTGTTGGAACCCCAGGATTGTGTGGCACATATTCTCCCTGTTATAGTTAATTTCTCACAGGTATATAAATTTAGTAGCTTCTGACCACTATCACAGACATTCATGTCATTGAGGTGGTTGTTTTTGAACTTTGCATTATGCTTTAAGTTGTTTGAACTTAGTGTTATGCTTTAAGTTCTGGTCATTGGCCATTGGCCATGTTTCATTTTCAGGTTTGTAGTTTGCTTTACAATATTACAGAACTTGCACAAATAAAAATAATCCCCTCCCTGTCATGATAAAATGAATTGGAAATGGTCTGGTTCTGTTGCACATAATTCTCATGAAAGTCAAAATTATAATTATTCTTGAGGATATGTTCAACTCCTTTTTTTTCCAGCTTTCTATTGAATTGCTAGATTTAAATGTTACTTTGCCATCTTAGTGATAAGTGTCCCAATACAGAGGTTCTGAGCTTCATGCTCTTCCTCTTTCTCTGGACTGAAAGATCTCATTTTTAGGGTGATACAAGCAAGGATAATCCTTTGAAGAATTGTATATGGTATTTAGGATTAGTATGTGATTTTGATTATTTAGAACTTATTTTTCAATTTCAATGTAACTATTGGCTATTAGTAGTTTCCTATTTCTATTAGGAATAATTTTTGTTCTCCATTAAGGTATTAAGAGCCCTATAAGGGTTTTTCTGGAGTCTACATAAATGCTATTATGATTTATGTTTGAGGTACATATGCTTTGATTTGAAAATTATGACCTGTTGATTTTCTTTTGATCTCAACCCTAATTCTTCTTGTTCCCCTCACCTTTTCATCTAAATTTTGTTTTTCCTGGTTTCCTTTCCTTCTCCCCCCCCCCCCCCTCTTTTTAATCACTTTATATGGCCTAGTGCATCACAATGAGTGGGAGAAAAAAAAAAAAGAAACGAAGAAACTATCAAAACGAAAATGGATAAATTATTGATAATGACTATGTTTGTATATTTGATGATAAGGATGATAGCAATAATACCATCATGATAATAACTGTAATCTTAAAAGGTTAGAAAATTTTGTGAATAAAAATCCTACAATAATGCCAACATGTCAAAGTATTTATTAAGTTCTAGGGCTTTGCTATTTTCCCCTTTCTCTTTATTTCATCGAGTGTTTGGAGTGTTTCTTGTCTTTGAGTGATGATTTGTGTACCTTTGACTCACAGGATAAGTCTTGGCGGGTCCGTTACATGGTGGCAAATCAATTGTATGAACTATGTGAAGCTGTTGGTCCTGAGCCGACCAGGTATTTTCTGTAGCCCTGTTACAGTTCTCTTCCCCCATGATTTTTCTAGTGTCTATCCATAGCTATTCCTTCTCCTCCAGCAGGAGGACCCCTCCTCTGTGTTTATGATTTTAAATAATTTGTTTTGTGTAAGTATTTTTCTTCCTTTTCATTCACTTAGAAATTTTGCAAGCAGTTGATATTATATGTTACTGAAACAAATTTAGTTAATTTAACTTTTTATTTGCTTTGTCAGCTATCCCATGTTCTTTTTTTCTTAGTAATCATGCATATCATTGAATCATGTGATTTTGTGTTTAGGTCGGATCTTGTTCCTGCATATGTTCGGCTACTTCGCGATAATGAAGCTGAAGTGCGCATAGCTGCTGCCGGGAAAGTAACAAAGTTTTGTCGACTTTTAAATCCTGAGCTTGCAATTCAGCATATTCTTCCTTGCGTCAAGGTATAGATTCACATGGACTTGTTAGTTGTTTCACCTAGTTCTTAGCTGATTTAGTAGCTTTAGTCATGTCTGTAAGGTTTTGCTTTATCCCGTCTGAATATTTTAGGATTGCCTACTGTAGGAGCTGTCAACAGATTCTTCCCAGCATGTTCGTTCTGCTTTGGCTTCAGTTATTATGGGAATGGCACCTGTTTTGGGGAAGGTAACAATTCTGCCTTATCATATATTTTTTCAGTCCATGTCAAAGTAGGCTCATTTCTTTGTCTTTGATTAGAAGTATGGAATATAGACTGTATAGACTTTGTGATATTTGTTAGCATAGGTATAGAAGTGTGCATAAGTGTTTAATTCCGAAGTTATTATTTCTCTGAGTCTTATAACAGTGTCTCTATGGTTGGACCAGCATTGGCCGTTAAGTTGCTTGCTGTTTCTCTTATTTATGGGAGTTAAGTCTGTTGTGCCACCTAATGGACTACATATTTTCTTTTTATGTAACTGTTGCTCTATTCAAAATTACATGCAATGGATGACTTGTTGAGGGAAGGGAACTATATTAATTTTAAAATATTCTATTATTTAATTTTGTTGAGACACGTATAGATGCTTTGGTGGTTCTGTTCCATTGTTTATATAATGTTATATTGCATTCTAATTATGAAGAATGTCAACTGATTCATTGTTGACAAAGAAGAATGCTTGGTCTGCTGTCATATAACGTAATCTCTGCTCTTGCAGGATGCAACAATTGAGCAACTGCTTCCTATATTCCTCTCTCTTTTGAAAGATGAATTTCCTGATGTCCGTCTAAACATCATTAGCAAGCTAGATCAAGTCAACCAGGTTTGTCACAATTTCTGACGCTAAGATTTATCAAGGAAGATGATGGCATGATTTATTGGTGATAGAATGGTGAAGTATGCATGATTTCCAAAAAGTGAGACAAGTAAACTCATTCATTAGTAATGGTATTATTCCATATCAAATTACTTTTGGGATTCTTGAGGTCCTGTATTTAAATTGGGTCTATTTGCATAATGCAAATTGATTCTAGGTTGTATGTTTTGACATTGTAAGCTTTTCTCTTTTTTGATAGGTCCCTTTTTATTGTCCTTGATTGCATATGGGGTTTGCTGTAGTCTACTGTTTAAGTTGAGCCATCCACCTTAATTAGTTAACTAACCTCACCCACCTCTCCAATGTATTTCAATTTTACTTGTAGTTCCTGAAGAAGATTCTATGGACAATTTATGCATTTGTGATCCAATACCTCATAATTGGTGAACTACAGCTCGTAGACAACTTTAAGAGTTGGTTGGTTCAGGCAGTCAATTCTTATATTCAGCAATTGAGTTCTGAAATTGAAGGAAATGAGCTATTACAAGATTCTTTGGGACCCTTTGGCTAAGTAGGAATTGCAGGCCATGGGCAACTTTAGCCTAAAACAATATGGTGGAACTAGTTTTAACTCCAATTAAATATTGATGTTACATCATTTCCTCCACTTTTCTTATGACTGATGCATAATGCATGTAGAAGTTAATGCCTGACTTGGATTTGAAGTTTCCTTGTTCTTGGATGTGATTGTTTAAGAATAACAACATTTCACAACTATGGACATGAGTATGCTCAGTAATTTATATTTTGTTTAAAAAAGCAGCCTTGTTAATCTTCTCAATAATGCAGGTGATTGGAATAGATCTGCTATCCCAGTCTCTATTGCCAGCAATTGTTGAGCTTGCAGAGGATAGGCACTGGAGGGTTCGGCTTGCAATAATAGAATACATACCTTTATTGGCAAGTCAGCTGGGTGTTGGTTTCTTTGATGATAAGCTTGGTGCTTTATGCATGCAGTGGTTAAAAGATAAGGTAGGAAGGCTTGCTGAAATTGACTATAACTTGGTGGAGTGTGTAGCTTGCTACTTTCTGATTTTATCTTTTAATTGTCTTCTCTAGTGACCTCTTCCATATTGATACTCCCTTTGCTTTGTGTCCACTGAAGTCCTCAGTTCTTCGTTTTTGGAAAGAAGAAAAGAATTTAGAAAAAAAAAAAAAAAATCTACTTGGTAAAAAGAGCTTTATCACAAAGGAGTAGCATATTCTATATGCTAAAAGATGCAGAGCTTCCTAAATGGTAAAGCTAGGCATTGATAAACCTTAAGTGTTTGCTTTAGACATGCAATAGTAAAGATAGTGTGGGATTTTAGGGGTGTAAAGGAGGTTTCTTTGGATCCATTTAACATTAGTAAGATATGCAATTGTAAAATAGTGTGGGATGTTCTCTGGAACAGCATCAAGGCCTTCGTCTAATTATAATATATATATATATATCTATATATTTTTTCAATAAGTGGAAGAGAATCAAGGATAAGAAGCTATTGTTGGCAACTGTCCCTTGTACATGTTTCATATGACATGTAACATTTAGGAGGTCATTACTAGCAACTAATGCTGTAAAATTCCAATATGAACCCTGATGATTGATGCTCTTTGTAGGTCTACTCAATTCGTGATGCAGCTGCTAATAATGTGAAACGCCTTGCAGAAGAATTTGGCCCAGAGTGGGCAATGCAGCATATTGTTCCACAGGTTTGCCTTAATATAATGGTTGGGGGTTCCATTTTTCTTGCTGTAATTCAGTATCTTTTGGGATAGAAAGCAGGTTTAAACTTCTTGTGCTTCATTCTTTTGAACTTCTGAAATGAATTAACAGGTTTTGGATATGATTAATAACCCTCATTATCTGTATCGAATGACCATTCTGCATGCAATTTCTCTGCTTGCTCCTGTTATGGGTTCAGAGATCACTTGCTCAAAACTCCTACCTGTTGTCATTAATGCTTCGAAAGATAGGTAAGCAACGTGGACTCTAGAGGTTTGATTTCATGTAGTTATTTGTTTGGATCTTTTGATTGAGGGTGTGAAAAACATGACACAGGGTACCGAACATCAAGTTCAATGTGGCCAAGGTGTTGCAGTCACTTATACCTATTGTTGATCAGTCGGTAAGTAACCTTTTTGCTTATTTTAATGATGACTTTATATGAGAGAAGTTCTAATATTTGGTTCTTTTGATTATTACAAGTAATTTAGTCCCTGGTAATTGACCATGCTAAAGTTTCTATTTGTGCAGTATTTTATCTTGTGAAATTTATTTACCATGTTTCAGGCCTAATAATTGGATGAGGCCTGGTTAAATCATGCTGAGATTCCTCTTTTTTTTTTTTTGGGGGGGGGGGGCGGACATGCTTAGATTCCTTAAAAGGGAAGAAATAATAAAATAAAGATTAGGCTATGTGGGATTCATGAAATCTATAGAAATGTGCCCCACTTTTAATTCAATTTAATTCTGTTACCTCTGGTCCTCAGCTGTATGTGCCTGCCCTCTCTAAAAATACCTTTATCCATTACTTTGCTGAGTATTTTTCTCTTAGGATTTCTGTTAAGACTGAAAACAGAAGGGCTTAATTGTTTTTTCTGGATTTGGAGTGTGATTGATGGTTGTTCGTGGACAATGCAGGTGGTGGAGAAAGCTATCCGTCCATGCTTGGTGGAGTTGAGTGAGGATCCAGATGTTGATGTTAGATTCTTTGCTAACCAGGCATTACAATCAAGTGACCAGGTTATGATGTCAAGTTAGATAATGTCATTAGTCTTCTTTTTCTTTTTGTCCTATCTGGTTTATCCTGTTAATTTTTGCCCTTAAAATTCAGAAACTCATTTTTCTTACAGACACAATGTCTTAATTGTTGCCATGTAGTCCTCACTCTTCACTCTTAAGTGGAATTCTAATCTTTCTTATGCTTTGAATGGTACTCTGGTTTATTCCACTTAGCAAAGAAATATTTTGCCTTTACAAGTATTGTGGTGGTCCATGTCTGGTTTATAAATGAGTGAACGTAATTCTTCTGCTGGTTAAGGAAGACACTGCAACACCATATAAAAGCACTGTAACAGGTAATATATGCATTCATACCCTACATGAACTTGTGGATGCTCATGATACAAGGACTGAGCAGGTTCACGACAGAGAAGCTCATAACATGCATTGACAGATGTTCTTCTTCGGCCCAAAAAACTGCAGTGGCCTATCCCTCAAAAAATGGGAGACTCTCTCGAAGCTTCCTGGCTTGACATAATCAGATTGCACCTGCCCTATCTTCTTGTTCGTTTTGTCACACACCAACAATTTTCCACCTAGTGAGATGTCTGCAGAGGTTAATGAAAGCAATGTAACGAATACGGTTGAGCAAGAAAAAAGGGTGCAAATTACTGTGCGAGATGCCAGTAACAGTCTGGGTGGGGGAAAGGATAAGGAATTTCAGTATATCACAAGCTAATCTTGGGTGGTGTTATTGCCACAGCTTCACAGGTTAACACCACAGCTTTTTTAATTAATTGACCATTAACCCACGTGGAGAAGGTGGTGACTGCTGCAAGTTGGATTCAAATGAGGGGTATAATAGTCAAATAATTAAAAAATGCTGTGGTATTAACACTAGTGGCTGTGGCAATAACACCACCCGCTAATCTTCTAAGATACTTACCTCTTCAATTGTAGTGGTCTAGGAGGTCCCATCATAGACTTCACTTCAACGATTCCCAAGTAGACATTGCCTTTGCTGTGCGGAAGAGGAAGTTTTATGTAGGATTCCAAACAAGCATTTATGTCATTTATGTAAAGTACGATCTAATAGGAAATTAGATTGGACACCCTACATAATTTTCATTGTGTTTTGCCTCTCCTATAGAATATAGGCAGATGTGGGTGGAGAGTAATGGAGTACACCATACCTCAAACCTATTTCGCCGTGGTTTGTTGAGAGAGATTGACTTGGATTTGAGGTATAGTTGGGCGTGAGAAAGGAATTATGAAGGGAAGTGGGAAATATGGCACGTTAAAATATTGAATTCTAAGAGGAATGTTATTGAGAAGTCCCTACTTGGGTATTGGAATTCTTAAGTGGTAAATTACTTCACAAATTAGAACTTTGAATTATTATATGTATAGGCTAACGATACAGTTTCAACTATTTTTGGGGAATTTTCAAAAACACAGAACATGTGTCTCGCAGCAGCATCAGACGTTCAGCCATGGCCTTCATGGAGAAACTCTCCCCATGGATCTGGGGCTTGCCTCCTTCCTCACATGGATCTTACCGACGACAGCCGCCGCCTCGGCCTGAACTATCTGCATCCCAATCCCCTTGTAAAGCTCGAACCCTTTTCGTTCGCAATCGCCGTTATCAAAAATACCATTCTCCGCCGTTACACTGTCAAAAACCATTTTGCTGCATTCATGTGCTTCTTCTCCATCTTCATTCTGGTCATAGCAATCTTCCTGTCCACTTGTTTTGTGTTGATGATCACCAACAAAACAGATGCTAGGAAGGTACCGGGAAGAGCCTGCAAGGAGTATAGAAGCACAGATGGGTACTCAAGCAGCTTCAAGCCGTACGGGTCAAGCTCCACTGCTCCAGGTATAAAATGTTGAACCAAATATCAAAGACTTTATCTCATCAGGATTATGTGAAAACTTTGACGATCAATACAAGAACCAGACTGCTTCAGAATTCTATGAGAACCGCTTGTCTTCAATGCACGTATATACAAGTACATGCCTTAGTCAATTATGGAGTTGCAACTCATGCTGATGATAGTTTTTGATTTTAAAAATGCTTTTTTAGTTTTTTTATTTAATTTTTTTTATATTAGGTTGCTCAATAAAAAATAAATACTCTTATATTTTTTAACTCAACTTTTTTCATATATCATAAAATTTAAAATTAAAATTTTTTACTTTTAGAGAAAAGAGACTATTACTGAAATATTCTAATCATTAACAAAGCTTTTTTAGTACTTAAATAATTAAAAAACTCTCTCTCTCTCTTTTTAAAATTTTTTATTTTATTTTTTATGTTTTAATTTTTAAGTTCAGACTGATTTTTAGTCAGCCTCGGTTGGAAAAGAAGGATTTGTCTGACTTTTTCAAGTCCGGACTGAAAAATTCTTTACTAATTTGTAGCCTGTAGTTTGTAGGTCTTTTATGCTAAATAACTAAATTAAATTATTAATTAAATAAGATTTTGGAGTTGTGTTTTCTCAGTCAAGGTGCTGCATACCACCATTCTACTGCACCAACTTAGAATATCGGAGCTCAAACTTCTGGTACTTCATCCTCTCTGCTAAGATTGAAAAACTGGATGGAGAATGGAGTGAACTTGTTGAACAGGAAAAGAATAAATTGCCACTTCATATTCTACGAGAACCTTATGAAAGACCTCAGCCCTGCCACCAGTGGAGCAATAACATAACATATCGCTGCTACTGGTGCAACACGTCTGTCTGCAGTTCATGACGACATCAGGATGAAGTGGAGGCTTCTGTCCTTTCTCAACACCTTTGTACTCTTTCACCACCATCCTCTTCTCCGTCTATCAATGTGCAGTTGGAATTCAAATGCAATGACAGTCCGTAGGGAAAGAAGTTTGTTATTATTATTATTTTTTCATTTTGACAAATTTAATTAATATTGAAAGGAACAAGAGTAATTAATATTATTGCAATCGAGTAAATATACAATGCAATTTCATTCACATTCATTACGAACTAATCATATAGTTTTCGCCATCACGTTAAAGTTCACGCGGATGCGATGCAGCTGCCAGGTTCCAATGATGGAATCAGGAACACCATGTCCCGTATATGCCAGACAATAAACATTCGAGTTAAGAACGGAAGGAGCTTCAATCATTGTTTGGAGGGGTTCCAATCCCAGAACTTGGTCTTTGTCACCATAAGTGAACACTAGCGAGATTTTTGGAAACAAGTGCACTGAATGTCGATTGTTTAACTGGTAACAAGTGTCAAAAGGATCCTGTGTCAATTCAAATAGTATCTATAAATAGTATCTAGGAATCTGGTTATGACATTACCTGTGTCAATTATGGAGCGGTCCACACGATACCACCACTGTTCTAGACCCATTGAAATCGTCTCAGCAAGTCCGATTTTGATTCCACTAAATTTGACGTAGTAATGAAGTCCATTCCCTTCAAGAATCATTTCAGCTTCGACCACCGTTCTGTCGCCAAATGTTGGGATTTTCCCAAATATAATTTGTACTTCTGTTTGAATGAGGAGTAGCACAGCAGAGCGAAAATTGGAGTATTCTCATCGGCATAGGAAAGGAATAAAGATCCTGGTTAAACCCCAGTACACTAGAGTAATAGCTAAATTAGTGCTGACCTACTGCTTGACGAGCACATCCAAAAATGAGATCTCGCTCAAACTTCTCATCATTCATTGTGGTAACTTCATCTCTGGCCATTGCACTTTCAGCCTTATCGTGATCGTGATACTGCAGGTGGAAATGGCATTCATCTAATTAATAGGTTATAATCATCGCAGCTCTGTTCGATGTTACGATTATCATCCACCCACTCCTTATCATGGCAACTAACCCAGCGAAAAGATGAAGAAAGCTTTGGATCAATGATTGGATGGTCCAAGTCAAAGCAGCGCCTGCATGTCTGGCATTGCCACCAAACAATATTTGATCCAGTGTCAAGCAGCAGGCAGAGTATCTGCCCTCTGCTACCAACCTTAAGACCAACCACATATAGCCCATTTTTTTCCATGTAGATGGTGGAGGAAGATTCAGATTTGGCGTTTGTAATATTTGGCCCAATTTTTGGTGAAGGACATAAGCAAGACATTTGTCCCTGGCCATTAATTGGGAGAAAACATGGAAGTAATCATCTCTAGAGGATCTGTCGAAATATTCCACATGATAAAGTGGTAAAGAAAGAATTGCTGTT